AAAAAAAAAAAAAAAAAAAAAAAAATGAATGTTTTGTATTGATGGTTGCATAGCTATATAAATATACTAGAAATAAATGAACTGTAAACTTATAATGGGCAACTTTTTGAGATGTAAATTATACCACAATAAAGCTGTGTTTAAAAAAAGAGAAAGAAAAGATGAATGTTTTATTCAGATCACCAAGGGAATTAGAACAGGCCACAGGTGTATACATATTTTCCACTATCTGTAGGAGTTAACCTTAATACTTTTTCTGATATACTACCTCAGCTCTCCAGTACTTGTCTTAACACAGATGACACAAATTTTCCCCCAGTTTTCCCAGATAATTGGTTATTTTTATAATTGGTTATTCTATACTGAGTAATTTGAACAATCCCTCTACTTAGAACTCAGACTATAATTAAAGGCAGGAATTCGGGACTTCCCTGGTGGCGTGGTGGTTAAGAATCCACCTGCCAGTGCAGGGGACATGGGTTCAATCCCTGGTCCGTGCGCCACAACTACTGAGCCTGCGCTGTAGAGCCCATGAACCACAAGCCCCCGCTCGCCACAACTAGAGAAAGCCCACGTGCAGCAGTGAAGACCCAACGCAGCCATAAATAAATAAATAACATTTAAAAAAAGGCAGGAATTCTCCTAACGAGTATGAATTATGAAACACCAATACGGGATTTCCCTGCTAGAAATAGACTCTGAATAGTATTCACTAAGATGCATGACTGGGGCTATTTTATATACTGTTTTCTCTCAGGCCACAGGAGATGAGGCTGATAGTAACCAAAAAATGAAGTAGAGTATAAAGAGGCCTCAGTCAGTGTGTTGGGATTCACTGAGGTGAGAACCTCAAAAGGAAAATGCCTTGTAAAATACATTCAGAAGCATGTATGCAATGTATATGTACAGTTTGGAGAATAATACGAAGAAATAAACACTCATTAATTCACCATCTAGCTTTGGAAATAGAACAGTATCAAAACCTTTGAAGGCCCCTATGTATCTCTCCCAGCCCTGAGGTAATCACTATTCTACATTTTGTGTCTGGATTTTTCTTTTTTGCAAATAATTCATAGGCATGTTTTTCCAACAAATGTATTGTTTAGTTTTTTCTATTCTACATATGTATGCATTCCTAGAAAGTATAGTATCATTGCGTCTGTTCTTTGAACTTTAAATGAATGGAATCATGTTGTACGCCTTCCTTAGCTTTTTTTTTTTTTCTTGCGTTATGCGGGCCTCTCACTGTTGTGGCCTCTCCCATTTGCGGAGCACAGGCTCCGGATGCGCAGGCTCAGTGGCCATGGCTCACGGGCCCGGCCGCTCCGTGGCATGTGGGATCCTCCCGAAACGGGGCACGAACCCGCGTCTCCTGCATCGGCAGGCGGACTCTCAAGCACTGCGCCACCAGGGAAGCCCCTTCCTTAGCTTTTTTAAAATTCAAACTTATGTTGTATTCCAGTGTATGAAAATTCAACAATTTAAACATCCAAACTACTGTTAATAGGTAAGTAGTTGTTTCTAGTTGTTTTATTTTTTTAATTGTTGCTGTTGCTATTGCTATTAGCAACAATGTTGCCACAGGGAAGCCTTCCTTAGCTTTTTTAAAATTCAAACTTATGTTGTATTCCAGTGTATGAAAATTCAACAATTTAAACATCCAAACTACTGTTAATAGGTAAGTAGTTGTTTCTAGTTGTTTTATTTTTTTAATTGTTGCTGTTGCTATTGCTATTAGCAACAATGTTGCCATTAACATTATTGGATATGTGACCTGGTAAATGGGAGCAAGAATTCCCTATGTTTACACCTGATAAGCACTGGTACATAGGGTATGCACATCTTCAAGTAAGTAATGCTGAACAGTTGGTCAACTCTATTGTGCCAATTTACACTGCCACCAGCAGTGGGAGTTCCCATTAATCTATGTCTTTGACAATTCAGTTTTTATCAGTAAGGTGGGTACACATAATGGTATCTCCTGGTTTTAGTTTGCATTTCCCTAATTACCACTGTGGTTGAAGCATCTTTTCATAATTTTATTAACCACTTAAGTTTCCTCTTCTGTGAAATGCCTATACAGATGTTTGCCCATTTTTGCATCAGATTGTCTCTTATTGATTCATAGGGTTACTTATATGTTCTGGATACCAATCCTTTGTTGGTTATTTGCACTGCAAATATCTTCTCCTATGGCTTAATACTTGTGTCTCATTTACAAAAAAATCCTTCTGAGAGGTCAGAGAGATATTCTCCTATGTTTTATTCTACATGTTTTAAAGTTCTGCGTTTTATATTTCAATGCTTAATTGTTCAATCAACTAAAAGTAACAAGTATAAATTTGCATGCACCTAACAACATAATTTCTGTATAGATAAAGCAGTAATTAAAAATAAATTAATAAATCTACAAACAACTTAGGAGATTTTTAACATGCCTCTCTCTGTAATTGATAGAAGAATCAGACAATATGATTAACAAACTTGACTCAATGAACATATGTTAGAACACTGTACCAAACACCTGAGAACATCCAACAGCTGCAGGGCATTCTTTGTAAAAACACACAGAACACTGACCATATGCTTCAGTCAGAAGGAAAATTACAACAAATTTAAAAGGATTATAATCACACAAGCTATATTCTTTGACCTTAATTCATTTAAACCAGACATCGATAACAAAATA